CTGTTTTTGCCTTCACAGATGCTGCCAGACCTGCTGAGCTTTTCCAGCATTTTCTGTTTTGTTTCATAATCCCAAACTAATCTAGTCCCACTTAGTTGCTCCTGGCCTGTATTGCTCCAAACCTTTCATATTCATGTACTTATCCAAATGTCTTTTAAATGTTTTAATTGTACCCACATCCACCATTTCCTCAGGAAGTTCATTCCACAAGCGAACCACGTTCTGTAAAGAAATTTGCCCCTCATGTCTTTTTTAATTCTCTTTCCTCTCAGTTAAAAATGTGTCCCCTAGTCTTGAAATCCCCCATCCTAGGGAAAAGGCAACTACCATTAACTCTATCTATACATAGAACATAGAACAGTACAGCACAGTACAGGCCCTTCAGCCCACGATGTTGTGCTGAACTTTTAGCCTAATCCTAAGGTCTATCTAACCTCCACCCCTACCTTATACTATCATCCATATGCCTATCTAATAGCCGCTTAAATGCCCCTAATGAGGCCGACTCCACTACCCTTTCCGGCAATGCATTCCACGCCCCTACCACTCTCTGAGTAAAGAACCTACCTCTGACGTCTCCCCTGTATCTACCTCCACTCACTTTAAAACTATGCCCCCTCCTAATAGCTACCTCCACCCTAGGAAAAAGTCTCTGGCTGTCCACTCTATCTATAACTCTGATCATTTTGTACACCTCTATCAAGTCACCTCTCATCCTTCGTCGTTCTAAAGAGAAAAGCCCTAGTTCTCTCAACCTTTCCTCGTAAGACCTTCCCTCCATTCCAGGCAACATCCTGGTAAATCTTCTCTGCACCTTTTCCAACACTTACACATCTTTCCTGTAATGAGGCGACCAGAACTGGACACCATACTCCAGATGTGGCCAAACAAGGCTTTTGTATAGCTGGAGCATAACTTCAAGGCTCTTGAACTCAATCTCTCTATTAATGAAAGCTAACACACCATACGCCTTCTTAACAACTCTATCCACCTGGGTGGCAGCTTTCAGGGAACTGTGGACATGAACCCCAAGATCCCACTGCTCCTCCACACTGCCAAGAATTTTTTCGTTAACCCTGTATTCTGCTTTCAAGTTTTTCCTTCCAAAATGAATCACCTCACACTTTTCAGGGTTAAACTCCATCTGCCACTTCTCAGCTCAGCTCTGCATCCTATCAATGTCCCTTTGTAACCTAGAACAGCCCTCCGCACTATCCACAACTCGACCCACCTTCTTATCGTCCACGAACTTACTAATCCACCCTTCCACTCCTACACCCAAATCATTTACAAGAATCGCAAATAGAGGAGGACCCAGAACAGATCCTTGTGGTACACCACTTGTAACTGAGCACCATGTTGAATATTTTCTGTCCACTATCACCTGTTGTCTTCCAAGGGTCAGCCAATTTTGAATCCAATCTGCCACATTTCCTTACTTTCTGCATGAGCCTACCTTGGGGAACCTTATCAAACGCCTTAATTAAATCCATGTATACCACATCCAATGCTCTATCTTCATCCACGTGTTTGGTCACCTCTTCAAAGAATTAATACCTCTCATTATTTTATAAACTTCTATCAGGTCACCTCTCAACCTCCTACACTCCAGTGAAAAAAGTCACAGCCTTTCTTTATAACTCAAACTTTCCATACCCAGCAACATCCTGGTAAATCTCTTCTGAACCTTCTCCAGATTAATTAAACCTTCCTATAGCTGGGCAACCAGATCTGGGCACAGTATTCCAGAAGAGGCCTCACCAATGTCCTGTACAACCTCAACATGACTCCCCAACTCCAATACTCAAAGGACTGAGCAATGAAGGCAAGCGTGCCAAATGCCCTTTTAACCACTGTCTCTATCTGATGCAAACTTCAAAGAATTATGTACTTGAACCCCTTGGTGTCTTGTTCTACGACAATACCCAAGGCCCTACCATTAATTGTATAAGCTCTACCCTTGTTTGTTGTACCAAAATGCAATACCTCACACTTATCCAGATTGAACTCTGTCTGCCATTTTTCAGCTCATTGACCCATTTGATCAAGATCACTTTGTAATCTTAGAAAACCTTCTTCACTGTCTACAATGCCACCGATTTTAGTGTCATCCGTGAACTTATTAATCATGCCTTCTATATTCTCATCCAAATCATTTCTATAAATGACAAACAAAAGAGGACCCAGATCCGATCTCTGTGGAACAATGCTGGTGCCAGGCCTCCTGTCTGAAAAGCAACCCTCCACCACCACTGTCTCTCCTGCTGTTAAGCCAATTATGTATCCAATTGGCAAGCTCCACCTTGAATCCTATGTGACCTAACTTATTAAGTAGTCTACCATGCGGAACCTCGTCAAAGGCTTTACTGAAGTCCAAATAAACAACATTGACTGCTCTGCCATCATCAATCTTTTCGTAACACTCAATCAAATTTGTGAGACACAACTAGCCTCGTGCAAAACCATGATGACTATCCCTAATCAAGTTTTACCTTTCTAAATGTCCAGAAATCTTCTCCTTTATAGTCACCTCCAACAATTTATTCACAATTGAAGCCTCTCATACACAATGGAACGGTGGAAATGCATAAAAGCAGGAGATGGCGGCAAAAAGTATTCTGGGAGGAAAAAAGTATTCAGGAGAGGAAAAGAGCTGGAGGAGATAGGATAGAAACCAGTGAGGCATTGAAAGATAACAATTTAAAATTCAATGTATTGAGGGGCTGAGAACCAAGAAAAATCAAAATCAGAGTTATGGGCGAGTACGATTTAGGATGAAACAAAGTATGTGTCCTTAAGATGTGCACAAATTTGGAACTGATGAAGAATGAGTGACCAGTAATAAAAACATTAGATTAAATCGAATCTGCAGTAATGAAATCATGCAAAATAATCTCAGCAACAAGGGGATGAAGAAGGTGCACAAGTAGTCAAACGTGCAAATGTGAACATATATATTAGTATCAGATAGACTGCAGAGTTTGAAACGTAACTCCAGGTTCAAAGTAGCATCAAGGTGGAGAATTATAATCATAGAATTCCTACAGTGTGGAAACAGGCCCTTTGGCCCAACAAATCCACACCGTTGCTTGGAGCATTCCACCCAGACCCAGACCCAGACCCAGACCCAGACCCATCCCCATATAACCCACCTAAGCTACACATCCCTGAACACTATGGGCAATTTAGCATAGCCAATCTACCTAACCTGCATATCTTTGGACTGTGGGAGGAAACTGGAGCACCCGGAGGAAGCCCACACAGACACAGGGAGAAATGTGCAAACTCCACACAGACAGTCGCCCAAGGGTGGAATCAAACCCGGGCCCCTGGTGCTGTGAGGCAGCAGTGCTAACCACTGAGCCGCTGTGCCATCCTAATGATTCAACCTGACAGTGGATGGGGAGGTATTAAAATGACTCAGAAACCTGAATGAAATTTATGGCAGATTTGAAAGCAATGACAGCAATATTCCTGAAGCTCGGCTCCAGGAAATTATGGCTTAACTAAAACTTGATATTAAAGATGTCATCAATGTACATGTGAAAGTTGGCCATGTACTTTCCAATGGCATTACATTAATAAGGAGGAGAAAAGGGAATACAGATAGGTTCTTGGGAGCTCCAAATAGAGAACAACAACGTGCATGCACTATTAATATGCTAAAACGTATCAAGGCACTTCACATTACAATATTATGTGATACTGAGCCGTACAAGCAGATACTAGATCAGATGATTAGAAACTCAATGAAACTGGCTTCAAGAGTGTTTTAAAGGAGGAATGTGATAGAGATGTAGAGAGGTGTGTGTGTGTGTGTTTGGGTGGGAGGGAGGTGGATAACTGAAGTCATGGCTACCAATGGTGTAGCAATTTTATTTGGGAACACACAAGAGACCGCAATTAGATCAGTGCAAATATCTGAGGGTATGGTGCTGAAGAAGATAACAAGGGGGAAGGACCAGGAAGGGATATCCCATGGAGGCAGGAGACATAGCTGAAGTGTTAATAAATTCTTTGCATCTGTCTTTGCCCAGGCCATAATGACAGAGGAGGAAACTAGAAGAGTATAAAACTAATAAGAAAGAAGTCTTGGATAGATTATTGGCACTTAAAGCTGACAAGGCATCGGGACAGAAGAGATGTATCCAAGGACTTTGAAGGAAGTGGAGGTAGAAATTGCAGAGCGCTGGCCATAATCTTTCAGTCTTCACTGGACTCAAGGGAGGGGCGAGAAGACTGGAAAATTGCAAACATTACAGTCCTGTTGAAGAAGGGTTGTGAGGATAATCCCAGCAATTACAGACCAGTTAGTTTAACTGCAGTGGTGAGAAAGCTTATAGAAACAATTACTTACAATAGAATTAGTCATCACATGGAAAATGGTTGGATGATTAGGAAGAGACGGCACTGATCTCTACAGGGGAAATAGTATTTAAATAAATTGCTGGAATTTTCTGAAGTAGTAACAGAATGGATTGATGAGGGTAATGCTGCTGATGTGGTATACATGGATTTCCAGAAGGCATTTGATACAGTGTGACATGCAAGACTTGTCAGGAAAGGTATAGGTCATGGTATAAAGAGACTGTAGCAATGTGGAGACAAGATTGGCTGAGTGATAGGAAACAGAAAATAATGATCAATGGGTATTTTTTGGGCTGAAAGAAGGTTTGTAGTTGAGGTCCCCAGGAATTGGCATTAATAATCTGGACCTTGGTGTGCAGGGGTCAGTTTCAAAGTTTGCAGATGACACTAAACTGAGAAGAATTGTAAATTGTCAGGAAGACAGTGTGGAACACCAAAAAGACATTGACAATTTGGAGGAGTTGGCTGATAGGTGACAGATGAAGGATTTAAGGAAATTCTCTACAGATATTGAGATAGCACTCAAGTCAATTTCTTCAATCTTTATCATTTTAGTAAGATGTTTATATTAATATCTCTCCTTTGGCTTGCAAATACAACTGCAGTACAGAGGCGACACCTGAATTACTTACCTGTCCTTCATCAAGCAAACCAAAGACAGCAGTAATGGATGTGGAAGGATGGACCATCACTGCATGAGATGGAACCCTAGCCAAATTACACTCCTCCCACTGTTTCACTTCTGCACGTGCACCATTCAGACACAGTAGCTGGTAATCAGTGGATTTTAGATTCGCAGCCCATGGTTCCTGATTTCTTCCTGGTGAAAAGAAAAATCATATTTAAAAACCTATGACAATTTAATATTTGGTACAGCTCAACAATTACAATTTTGAAACAGTGAAACTATCCAAGGTTATGGTGCATAAATAAAAGGAATGCATGGACTTCTTAGATGTTTGATCAGTTAGAAAAATTAAGGCACTTGATGGTAAAATGCCTGGGTTAGGAAATTAGAGATGTGAATACTAGTGTGCCCCACAGGATCTTGCAAACTAGAGGGAAGAATGCAGCAAGTTGTAGATTGGTGGAATGGACAGGTCGGTGGCAGATTAATTTCAATGTAGAGAAATAACTTGTAGGTTTCAAGAAGGAAAAAGGAGCAATGAGTATCAAAAGTATTGGAAATGGGAAATTGAATTAATTAATGTATATGGAGAGTTTTAGAGCACGCAAGACTCTGGCAGAAACAGAACTGGAAACAAAGTTCACTCTCGCCTTTGAGAGTGAAATGGATACTATTTGCAAAATTTAAAGATTGGAGAAATTTACATAATCTGACTCTTAATTGAATATCTATTTTCAAAAAGTGACACATGCTGTAAAGTTCTGTAATTCTATGAAAATGTGACAGCAGTTTGGGAAGGAATCACCATTTTACAAGAAGAGCAAAATGACAAATGATATAGCAATGGAATCAAGGAATCTGATGGAGGTACAGGCACTTTTGTGACACATCACCAGTACTGTATGACTTTGTTCTCATTAAGCAGGTGGTTTCTGCAGTAAGGATAGGAAGATAGGCTGGAACATTGAGGTGAGGTGACAGAAAGGGCCTTAAGCTGTGTCTAAAAGATATGATCAATGCTGCCCAGGCAACTGCTCTCTAACAGTACCCTTCCTATGAATGGCCTTCATTCCAGACCAGTTGTCTTTTCCCACTGTAGTCAATGTTTTTATACAGTAACATATTATAGGTTTACACCTGCCTGCACAGATTGGTGGTGCTTCTCGGAAGTAATGTGAATTGCCTTATTGTCTCTTGGAAGCAAGTGCCTGTACACTGCAAGGAATTGAGTTTTTAATTTGCACCCATCAGTAATTCCAACAGTAAGCACCATGAGGAGAGCAGAGTGGACTGGTAAATGTGCAAATCAGTCAACAAATCTGAATTTTACTTTAGGAATTTTAGTTGTCTGTACTGCTTATTCCATCTCTCCATTAGATTCAGGATATCTAGGCAAACTTGTGACATGCTGAAAGCAAAGTGTCACTGTAAATGCTTCGAATATCTCTCTAGCAAGCTGTGGGTCATCATTAGAAATGAGAACATCCAGAATACCATGAGTGGCAAAAATCTCCCATGGGGAGGGTGGGACTGTCAAACATTTCAGTGGCCATTAGTATCATCTGTTTAACCTCAATCAATCTTGAGTAGTCATCAATCACAATGAGGTAAGAATAATCTTCGTCCATGAACAGATCCATACCCATAAAGGCCCAGAGTCCTCCAGGAAATTCTGTAAGGTCAAGAGATTCCTATCGTTCATTACTGTCTATTGTATATCTATTATAATTGGCAACTCGTCCTTCAACTGTTTTGAAACCTCTGGCCATCAAACAGCTTATGAGCTTTTGCTCTGTACTTGGTTTTGCTGAAGTGAATCCTCTGGAGGATGGGGTTCTGCAATGAAAGGGGAATTGTTGATTCTCAAAAATTAGTAAATCCTAAACAATAAAGAAGTGCTGCTTATGTTTGAAGTAAATCTTCATGCCAAGACTTGTGAACTGAGCTCTGGATCATTATTGAGTGGAATACCTGTATGCAATAATGCACTTGGAATCCTTCTGTTGTTCCTCTGTCATAAGGTTAAACTTGTTTCTCTAGGCTGGTCAATACAGTTGTAAGAGCATAAAGGTGTATTTCAGCTCCATGATATGGGCACATCAGCTGTGGCTCCAGAAAGAGCATCTGTTGACATCTGATACTTTTCTTGGACATATGAGATTCTCGATTGAGATTTTGTAAATTTAAGATGAAACCACATACTTGAGGAGACATTTTTACTGTATCTTTTTCATCCGGGGGGGAGACCAAATCATGGTCTCAATCATGACTTTGAGGTTGAAAATGTAATCAGAACGTTTCATAGGTTCATATAACCACTAATGCCTTTTTCTAGTTGATGTTGTACTGTTTCCACATCTGATAACTCCCTTGAAGTATAATACTTGAGTTTTTGATATCCTCCTAGTTGTTCCTAAAAATAAGTGCCAATGCCTGAGGCTATCGCATCAATTATCATAGAATATGATAGACTGTAATGGATTAAGACATCAGTGGAGATCAGTGTAACCTTATCTTCTGTTGTTGTGCATCCCAATACCAATCAGGGAAGACAATGGTCTAGTGATATTATCACTGGACTGTTAATCCTGAGACCCAGTAAATGTTCTGGGGACCCGGGTTCGAATCCCACCACAGCAGATGGTAGGATTTGAATTCAATAAACATTTGAAATTAAGTGTCTAAAGGTGACCATGAAACCATTGCCAATTGTTGGAAAAAACCCACCTGGTACACTAATGTCCTTTAGGGAAGGAAACTGCTGTTCTTACCTTGTCTGGCCTACATGTGACTGCAGACTTACAGTAATGTGGTTGACTCTTAATTACTCTCTGGGCAATTAAGGCTGGACTAGCCAGCGACGCACTCGTCCCGTGAATAATGAATTTTAAAAAACTATGCAAGTGACTAAAGAGATTTCTCAAACGTTCTGTAACAAAAGCGAGGTATGATAAAAACTTTAGCCAATTAATTCGCCATACACAGATCATTGGAGATTGTGCACCGATTTTGAAGTCGGAGTGTCTTTGACTGCTTTGGTTTTCTGAGAATCAGAATATCCTATCCTTGCTGACAATGACAGCAAGGAAATGAATGGAATCCCCAGAAAATTCAACTGTCATTCAACATAATGCTTGCTTCTTGGAAATATTTCAAGAAAGATTTAATCTCCTATCATGGAACTGGATAGTTACAGCATTTATCAGGATATCATCCACATGGTAGATGATGTCATCTATTCCCATAAAATGTCCGACATTGTGTATTGTAAAATTTCCAGGGCAGACCAATACCAAAGGATAGACTGTTGAAATCGTATCAGCTGAAAGAGTTCATGAAGGTGGTGAGTAGCTGAGGTGATCATCAAAGGGACCTGCCAAAACTCACTTTTGGCATCCAGCTGTATAAATGTTCTACTGGTGGAAAACTGAGCCAAACTTTCATTTGCTGTAGATATCAGATGATTTTCTCCGGCAATACTCTGAGCAACAAACTCCGAGCTGCGTGAGATCCAAACAATTTAAAATGAATCCATTGAATTAAGGAACTACAACCACACCTAAGCACTATTCCTTGGTTTGGTCACTGGGAGTATAATACCCATGTTGACTATATCATCAAAGCATTTCTTCACTTTTTCTGTAAGTGGGTGAGGGATTTTCCTTGGTGTAAAGAGATGTACTGGTTTGACATCAGCTTTCAATGTGTTTTGATAAGGAGTTTCCAGTTTTCCCAACAATTTGGGTTTGCCGTTTGAGAGAGTTCACGTACTCTGTGCTGGAGACTGAGGGCAAAGCATGCCTTCTTACTCACTAGGGAAGATTGCTGGTTGCTGAGGATGTATACTTTCTCTACTTAGGTGTGATAATTGAATGTCCAAATAACATGCAACAGTGTGGATATGGTACCTCTGGCTATGCCACTAAAATAAGAGGTAAAATGTTCATCTCTGCCATGGAGTATAATCTGAGATAATCATGATACTGGCACCAGTACGTAGCTTAAACCTGGTTGGATGATCATCTGTCTGGATGACTACTGTCAAATTGACATCATGTGATTTTAATTTCTACCATGGAAGAGTAACATCGGAATTTTCTGGTATTCTTCATGTAAAGAAGCTTGTTGTTTTGCAATAGTGACCTGTTCTTCAAGGTTCTGTTCCAAGATATGAATGCACCTTTTAGGTTGAGAGTGATTTGAGTTGTTGCTTGGTATGTTCTTCAGACTATAACACATCATTGAGAAGTGAACTCATCTGCTACAAATGATTACATTGTTGGCAGAAAGCTGGACAATTTTGTCTTTACTTATGTGGTGTTTTGGAAACACACCTGTGATAAGATACAAGATTCACTAGATTGCTTAGGATTTAGCGTAGTATTGGTTTGTTGCCACAGTATGAGTTGGGTTTGAGACAGAACAGTCGAGGACAAGGTAAAGTCAAGAAATATCTTCAGGCTTAGATTTCAAAGTAATGCTATTTATTACATGCAAGTAGTAAATGCGGCCATATATGATAAATGTAGATATACCAGGCTCTAAACTGCACCTACGTTAGGTAAGGACACATCTATCTTCTTCTTGTGTTCATCAATCATAAAAGCCATGGTGTACAATGGTCTAGCTTCACCCACACAGTGCTATTTACGTCAATGAATTGCAACTCTATGACATCATTACAAGGTTGTCCTTGGGCCCTTACACAACAAGCATGACGAAATATTGAATAATGTTCCTTTCCAGCTGACTATAAAATTTAGGAATATAAACACACCTAGGAGTAATGCCAAGGTGAGTTCTCAGAAACTACTTACAATAATCCAATGAAGTGTCATAGGGTGAAGTTCAAAGGAGTCAAGTGACAATCATTTCAGTAATTTTAAGATGGAGTTGACAGTTATTTGGGAGATTAACTAAAGGATTACAGATAGTGAATGGTGTATTCTTCAAACTTTAGAGTTTGCTAAAGGGATCAATGATGACATTTCTTGGTCTACACGGTCCAACATTTCTTTGGCAAGGATTGAGAAAGGAGTAAAATGAACTGTGGTGAGGAAAGGGAGGGAGAGGAAAAAGGAGATCCTTTGAAAAGAAATATGGACAGGAAGAACGTGGAGGAGAATGGAACTGGAGATGATGAGGCATGAAGAAAAGAAGACATGTATGTATAAAAAGGATATATATGCAAGAAAAATAGGTAAAACTGTCACTGAAAGGAAATTAGGAATTGAGATAGACGACTTAGAAGCTGGGGAAATGGCCAAAACAGGAAACTAGACTTACCATCAGTGTTATCAAAAACTGTTGTGTGTTTTACAAATGCTACATCTCCAACTTCTACAAGGCACCTATTGATTTTAAAGATGATGAGTTACTTTCATATCACTTCTACAACATTCAAAAATTATGCCAATACATGAATGCAGTATGCAAATGCAATAATCTGCTCTGGTAGAAAATTTCGAGACATCAGTTTTCCCTTGCAATCCTGTATGCATTGAGTTTCCAATCGAGTTTCATGCTTGAAAATTTACTTCTGTAAAATGCAGTTGTTTCATTGACCTTATTTTGCACATTTACCAAGTCCATCACTGACATATTGACAACACATTGCCTGATTTTAATGGTACACTGTACAATTAGATTTTGTGATCAGCAGAAAGAATGCTATGGAGACAGTACGGACTGCAGATGCTGGAAGCCAGAGTCAATAGATGTGAAGCTGGAAAAGCACAGGAGGGCAGATAGCATTGAAGGAGCAGGAATATCAACCTTTTGGGCCGAAACCCCTCGTCAGGACTGGGAAGGGGGAGGACTGCCCAGAAACAAATAGAGGGAGGAGGGGTGGGGCTAGGGCAAGGGTAGGTGGGATGCAGGTAGGAGGTTATTGTGATTGGTCAGTGGGAAGGACAGACTGGATAGGTGAGTAGGAAGATGGATGGGTTAGGTCCGGTCAGGGAGGTGAGGAAAAGGGGTAGGGCTGAACATGGGATAAGGCTGGGGGTGGAGGGATTTTGAAGCTGTTGAAGTCAATATTGAGGCCATTAGGCTGTAAGCTTCCAAGGCGAAATATCAGGTGTTGTTCCTCCCAGTTTACATTTGGCCTCACTGTGACAGTGGAGGCGGCCAAGGATGGACATGTCACCAGGGGAGTGAGAGGGGGAATTTAAAATGGACGGCAACCGGAAGGTCAGGTTGGTTGATGCATGCAGAGCGCAGATGCTCCAGAACCTACTCACCTATCCACTCCACCCTTCCCACTGACCAATCACAATTACCCACTACCTGCATCCACCTATCACCATTATACCTACCCTTCACCCAGCCCTCCAACACCCTCTATTTATTTCAGGGCTCCCCTCCCCTTCCCCAGTACTAATGAAGGGTTTTGGCCCGAAACTTTGACTTTTCTGCTCCTCAGATGCTGTTTGACCTACTGTGCTTTTCTAGAAAGAATGCTATACGTTTTGTGGTGTTTCCTGGTGGTTTAACTAATGCACTAGTTCTCAGGGACTTCCAAACATGCAGCAGTACTAACATCAATAAGCAAGGTAAGCAGTCTTTCACATTCAAATATTCCCACAGACAAGCCAAGAATTTAAAAACTTTCAATTTCTTTTTCTCAAATTTGCAGATAGCAAAACCAATGTTTTAAGATAGAAACCAACATATTATAAAGGTTAAAAAAAAGTTAAAATATTTTTAAAAATTCCACAATAGAGAAATGACATTTCACTGTTGCAGTGAAATAGCCGTTTAGTCCCATGAGGATGTTTAGCAGTAATTATGAACATAGGTCCTTATTCAACAAAGTGTAACTTCTTGAGTGGTCAGACTCTGTATAAGTGTGGATGTTTCGGTCAATTCATTACACACTTAGAGATTGCAGACTGTGGGCCTCAACAGTGCAGTCTCTGGGAAGACCACAGGATTGTGGATAGCAGTTTCTAATGATCTAGGCTATGTGTGGACAAAACAATTCAAGTAGGATCGCAGGGCAGCAAAGCACTGGCATTTATGGCTGTGGATATAGAATCCAATGTTATTATTTAGTTCAGTCTGCGGCCCAAAGCCAAGTGAACTAGGGAGCAGGTGATGACTATATGTTAATTGAGGGTAACTTGACTGGATGTGTATGTAGGGAGCAAGTAATCAGTGATTTTGGAGATGGTGTGTGTTTGAACAAAATTCTGACCAGAAAAAAAAAGCCTGTTCATTGTCCATTCAAATTTTAACCTCAACATTTAATCTCGGAATTTAACAGTGATAGCAGAGGATTGTTACTAGTTTATGAGTCAAAAGGTGAAAAACAAGCAATGTTTTAACCAAAGAATTATTTTGGAGAAAACTTCAGAAAGATGGCTGACTCTAAATCTAAAGTATCAGGATTTGACCACCAACTCATGTTTTCTGAATGCGAACCAGTGGAAAGAATGAAGCAACTATGTAGACTTAACTTACTACTTTTCCAAAGAGGAAACAAGTTATGGGATTGGCACTTTTGCTACCACACAAAAGCAGGATCAGAAGGAAAGTATTTTCATAACTGGAGATTAATAATTTGAACGCAATAAAGTTTTGGACAAATTATTAACTCCCATGCGTAAATTTCATCAAAATGATGCCTTAACTGCTTATGAGGCATGATCCAATTTTGAGAAATTGAGGAAAAAATTAAGATAATTCCAAAGACAGTACACAGTGAAATTCAGCAGATTGTATGCAATACTGCAAAAATTCTACCTGCTAAGTTCCTGATCTGTGCTAGCTTTAAATTGTTAGATGTGCCGAAGCACTGAGTTTAGACTGACTTTCAGTTTTGATGGAAGTTAATTTTATGAATAAACACAGACTGCTAGAATGACTGACAGAAGCACTAAAAGAAAATTTCCAAATATCATCCCTTTCCAGCAACATTTATGGCGCACCTGGTACAAATGGCTGTACAACTGAAAATGGAGATGATGATGTTAATGGCCTGGTGACACTGTCTAGATACAGCTTGCATGCAACAGAATGGCATGAGAATTTTAACTAAAAGAAGCAAGAGCAGATATTTGGGGATTTAGTATAAAAGAATGAACACCAGAAATACCCAAGATGTGGTCAATTGGTGTTTCAGGTGTGATTCAAAATGCTATTATGCATTTATCACAATGCCATTATCTCTGTGATGGCTCCTCAAGTGCATTATAGTTTATAACCTTTCTTTCAGGAAAGGGAGGAAAATGTATTTTAGCTTGGCAGCTAAAATGATGAGAAAAACAGTAAAACGTAGCTTGGCAGCAAAAAGTCTCGCTCTTGTTAAAGCAAAGAACAATGAACAATGAACAATACAGCACAGGAATAGGCCCTTCAGCCCTCCAAGCATGTGCCGACATATTTTGCCATGGAATGTAGAAATGGAATTTTTTCCAGTGAATATATTGAAAGAAATTCTAAAGATAATGCTGGAGAATAGAGAAATCTCCAATTGAAATGGGTGGAAAGCAGCAGTCAGCTGATTGCTCCTTTCTTTGTAAAAAATCTCTAAGTAACTACCAGAAGAACTGGAAAAGGATGTTTGGAACTTTAATGTATACTTTAAAAAGCAGGAGGTTTTTAACAATGAACAATAGGTTATGATTATATTTTCTTTTGCTTTTAATTATTATCGTATGTATATTCATTTAAAAAAGAAAAAAAAGGGAATCTGTTATTATTTCACAGGGTCTGGCAGGAATGCCCAAGACTGAATGGAATTAGGGAATCTGCGATGGTTTTATATTACCATAAATTAATGTGGTGAAAGCTTGACTGGATGTATATATTCATGCATATAATCAGTGGTACTGGAGTGGTATTGAGAGTTGGAATAAAACTCTAACCAGAAGTGCATATGCCTGAACTCTATTTAACTAACATTTAATTTTACGACTTAACTTCACTACTTATGAACATTAAAAACAGGTTATGTTGAATTTGTATAGGGCCTTGAAACAAACAAAAGCAGAGACAGCTGGAGAAACTCAGTAAGCCTGGCAGCATTTGTAGAGAGAAAACAGAGTTATTGTTTCAAGCCCAGTGACCCTTCTTCAGAACTCTGGACTCAAAACATTAACTCTCTTCTCTCTCCACAGATGGGCCAGTACTGCTGAGTTTTTCCAACTGTTTGCTTATGTTTAGTTCAGGCCTCTAACATTCAGAGTACTTTGTTTAAGGCCTTGATTGAGCTGTTATTGTTCTGCTGTCCATATTATAAAAGGGAGAAGGGTCTAGACCCGAAACGTCAGCTTTCCTGCTCCTCTGATGCTGCTTGGCCTGCTGTGTTCATCCAGCTCCACACCTTGTTATCATTGAAATATGTGCAATGTTTTTGTACACACAAAGTTGTCTATTTCAGTGAAATAATTCTTGAGTACAGTTAGCTTCACTGACTTTACTATCCAAAGTCCAGGCCAAATAATGAAACCTACACTTCAGCTGCGAACTCATGCAGTAATCACTAGTACCTTAACTTTCCAATTCTTCTCATGTAAATGATAAACAGATTTCTGCCTTCTCCACTCCAGTTAGTCATTAAAACATGTTTTATAAAATGCATACTTTTTGTTAAAATGAGTTGCTGCTAACATTTCATTGTTTAAGCAAACAGTATTTTATTCCTTCAGCTGCTGACTTAACTCTATCTTATCATATTAATTGCTTGTATAGCTGCAAGTTCTTTTCACTATCACCCTTGATAGTGAACTGTAATCAAATTTGCCTTTACAAGCTGCAGATAAACTTCTCCCTCACTTTTGCACGTCAGTCCTGTCAGCTCTAATATGTATCATTCGCTGTCTAGATGAAATGATTAAACGTCATGCAGAGACATCAAAATATTTGACCAAGTTTTACATGAGAAAACACATCATCTTTAGTAGTATGGTCTTCACATTTTCTAACTTAAACTCCTCCTCAGCTACTTTAATCAATCTAATAAAGATGACAGAAGCAACATTGATTTGTACTGATTTTTTAAAAAAAGTTGTTTCATATAGTCCCTTTCTCGCAACATACACACTAAGATGCCATGGTTTATAAAACAGAATGAATATCATAACTATTAAACAGATGATTTACATAACCAATTCCATTCACTCCACATGAAGGGAAGAAATGACTGAAGGCTCCGGACACTGCAAAGGCAATGGTCCCTGACAACATTCCAGCTAAAACAGTGAAAACCTGTGCTCCAGAGTTAGCCATGCACTTAGATACAATACTGGCCTATACCTGCCAATGTGGAAAATTGCTCAGGTATGTCCTGTACACAGAAAAGCAGGATAAATCCAACCTGGCTAATTACTGCTTTATCAGTGTACTTTTAATCCTCCAAGTCAATGAAAAGCGTTGTTATTAGTGCTTTCATCTGACACCAGCAAAGAAGTAACACGCTCTGTTTGGATGTGCAAGGCCACTCAGTTCTTAAATTCAATACAGCCTTGGTTGAAATAAGTGGACTGCTTGTGTCATCAAGGAGCCCTAGCAAAACTGCAATCAGAGAATCAGGGAAAATTCACCACTGGTTAGAGTCATACCTAGCAATGAAGAAGATGATTTGGTTGTTGGAGATCCATCATTCTTAGTTCAAGAGTAACACTGCAGGAGTCCCTCGGGGTAGTACCATACGCCCAAAAATCTCCAGCTGCTTTATAAAATGACCTCCCCTCCTCCATAAGGTCAGATGTGGGATGTTTGCTGAAGATTGCACAAATGTTCAGTACTATTTGCAACTCTTGAGATTCTGAAGCAGTTCGTGTCCATATGCAGCAAGACCTGGACAATATCCAGGCATAGGCTGATAAGTACCAAGTAGCATTCATACTGCAAAGGTGTCAGGTAACAACCATCTCTAACAAGAAGGAGCTTAAGATCTTGCAATTGACACACCACTGCAATTTAGCATGGCCGATCCACCTAATCTGCATATCTTTGGACTGTGAGAGGAAACCCACACAGACACAGGGAGAATGTGCAAACTCCACACAGATAATCACCTGAGGGTGTAATTGAACCCAGGTCTGTGGTGCTGTGAGGCAGCAGTGCTAAATAGTGAGCCACTGTGCTGCCCAACTCAGAACTATGTTGTTGTTCCTTCATTGTTGCTAGGTCAACATCCTGGAACTCCCTCCCTAACAGTGCTGTGGGTATGCCTATATTCCAAGGAGTGAAGCAGTACAAGAAGGCAGTTTACCACTACCACCTCCAAGGTAATTTGGGATGGACAATAAATGTTGGACTGGCTAGCAATATCTACATCTCATGAACAAAAAAATTGCAGTTCACCATTGCCACTGAAAAAAATTACTCTGAATGATCAACTATGCTAGATTTCTATTTTTGTTCTCGAAATAGTCTCTTTCTAACAAACTTTGCCCTTGTCTAAAACTTCAGTGAACTCAGAGCACGTGTATAGTTCTCAGTGGAATTGATAATAGCAAGGTTAGTAGTCCTGTGTTTGTAATTACAAGGTTCAATTGTGGCAATAATTTCAACAAAAGTTATCTGTAAAGAAACCAGGAACCTTTAAACTTTGAGACTCTGAATAGTTATTCACAGAATCACAGAAGTGTTGTGGTACAGAAGGCGGTCATTTGGTCATCATGCCTGCATCTGCTCGTTAAATAGAAATCATTACCTGGTGTCCGTCTCTTGTTTCTCCCCTTACACATTACTTTTATCCAAAAATTATCCAATGCCCTCTTGGATACCTCAATTGAACCTGCTTCCATACAGTACATTCCATATCCTAACCATGTGCTGAGCATAAATATTTTTCCTCACTTCACCCTTGCTTCTTCTGTAAATCACTTCAAATCTATGCATTTTAGTTCTTGTTCCCTTTGAGTGGAAACCATTTCACCTTATTTAATATATCAAGCCCTCTCATGCTTCTGAAGATCCCCTTTTAGCTGCTTCTCTCCAATGAGAACAATCCCAACTTCAATCTATTGTTTGTGTTTTCCACCGGCAGGAACATACAAGAGAAGGGGTTAAAAACCAGCTGCACCTCTGGTGACATGTGTTTCTTCAGTTTATTGAGGATCATAAATGTTTGAACATGTTGTAAAAGGCTCAGCACATTGAATAGCTGGGTCTATCAGATACCTGAATGCTCCGGTGTAGCCACTGTATTGTTCCTCTGTAGTGACAGCACACTTTGACTTTCCTTCAGCATTTCCAATGCATAATTCACAAAGGCTTGATGGGTAAGCTGGCTGATTCGCACCAGGTACACAGCTTGCAGAAAAATACTCACCAACAGCTGTCCAAGAAACAGAAAGAAAATGTCAAACATCTCAGTGTTGAACTAACTCATGTTACAGTGTGTACTGGCTTAAAGATCTCTGCCAATTGCAAGCACAGACATGCATTTTTTAATTACTGTTCTTTTGATTGGATGTGCAGACATGAGTTGATCTGGATATAAATTAGGCCAGAAAAGCAATTTTAAGTTTAGTATTTATCTAAGCCTTCCATCTTGAGTTCATCAGGACCATTCACAAGAGTACCAATATACAGGGAAAACAACATTCATACTATATGCATTTAAAATTGAAATTTTCTCATAGAATAGAATCCCTACAGTGTGGAAACAGGCTCTTTGGCCCAACAAGTCCACACTGACCCTTGGAGCATCCAACCAGACCCACCCCCCTATAACCCACATAATCTACACATCCCTGAACACTATGGACAATTTAGCATGGCCATTCCACCTGGCCTGCACATCTTTGGACTGTGGGAGGAAACCAGAGCACCTGGAGGAAACCCACACAGACACGGGGAGAATGTGCAAACTCCACACAGACAGTCGCCCGAGGGTGGAATTGAACCTGTGTCCTTGGTGCTGTGAGGCTGCAGCGCTGACCACTGAGCCACCATGCTGTCCCTTTAAAGGTGTTTTAAAGTCACTCTTACAGTATGATGCACTTGTGTGTACTGAAAGGTACATGTATTAATGCACAAGGTCCTGTTCTTTGTAAACAGAAAAAAACATGTACACACTGCACCTGTTTCAACAGATTTCAGCATTCGGCGATTCACTTCTCAAGACAATGCCTTGACCAATAAGAGTCAACTTGCCTTGTTTAAAATTTAAATAATGCTTGGTGATTAACTGTCAGTCATCATTAACTGTTGCAGTCTCCACAGCAATACCTTTACCAACTAGAGTCTACTTGCCAACTAAACAGCACTGCCTTCCCATTAAGTTTGGGATCCTCTAAGAAGAGGAAAGAGAGGTAGCAAGGTGGAGAGGTTCTGGGAGAGAATTTTAGAAGTCCGGGCCTCGAACCTGAAAATACAGCATTATCTTCATTTCATTTGCACTTCTTGATATAAAGCTTTTCCTTAGGTGAACCAGTTGAAATCAGGAGGGTTCAAGAGGTCACACTTACAGTTACTTGGTAGTACAGAATATGAAATTGCTGAGAAACGATTTAATGAAACTTTTCACCTTGCACTTGTCAGAACAACTTGAAAGGATTCCAATGTAAAGGGAAAACAACATTTTTACTTTGAGAGGGAAGTGCTGATAAATTAGGATGTGGACAGCAAAATTTTGGATGTTCTAAAGTCCACAAAGGCAAAAACCTGGAAGGCAGCTAGGAATGCACTGATTTAGTCAAGTTGAGAGGTAATTAAGCTTTGGATGAGAATTTCAGAAACAACTGAGCTGGGCCAGGGTTACCTTAGTTGATGTAAATAGGTGATCTTAGTGACGGTCATAGAATCCCTACAGCTGTGGTCATTCAGCCCATCAAGTCCACATCGACCTTCCGAAGAGTATCCCACACAGACCCACACCCTTACGCTATCCCTGCATTTCCCATGGCTAATCTACCTAGACTGGACATCCCTGGACACTATGGGCAATTTAGAATGGCCAATCCACCTAACCTGTACATCTTTGGACTATGGGAGGAAACTGGAGCACCTGGAAGAAAACCATGCAGACACAGGAAGAATATGCAAACACGACACAGACACAGTCGCCCAAGAGTGGAATTGAATCCAGCTCCCTGGTGCAGTAAGGCAGTAGTGCTAACCAGTGAGTCAACATGTCACCCATGTAAATATGTGATTGAAAACTCAGTTTGATATCCAGGTTGAAATGACACAGAGGCTGAAAACAGTTGCCAGGTGAGGAAAAGAATTATAGCAAGGGGAACACTTGTAATGGGATCAAAAAAAAAACAGTGACTTCAGTTTTCTGAATACTTAGTTGGAAAATAATTTTGCTTATCTTTGTTGCGGATATCAGATAACCAGCTGACAATTTACTGACAGTGGAGGGGTTAAAAAATGCAGCAGCAAGATTGAGCTGGATGTCATCAGTTTGCATGTAAAATTTGACGTCATGTTTTTGGATGGTGTCACCAAAGCTGGCGTGGGGAATGGAAAAAGAAACCATTACAGCAATTCTTTGGTATGTTTAGATGATGAAAATTGAACCAGCTGAAAGCAGTCTCACCCAGCTAAACAACTTAGGAGAGGCTAACATGGTCAACTATATCAGAGGCTGCCCATACATTGAGAAGGAAGAAAAGAAGAGAGAGTTTACCAAAGTCATAGGGGATACAATCTGTGGCTATAAGGTCCATTTTAACATTATGTTGGCTGCATTCGATTCTGAAACACTACTTCAATTTGTAATGATGCTGCATAGTGGTTGTACATCCAGGAAGCACAATTTATCAAGTGAATACAAGTCTTTCGTTCAATAGACCAAAATCAGTTATGTTTACTTTGAAATAAAATTTCCTCACCTTTTTCAATATTACACTTGCTGAATTTTATTTCCTTTCTCTCAATTAGGGTACCAATGGGAATGTTCCAGCCAGCTGTTCTGCCCAATCCAGTATGACATGACTTCTTTCCTTTCAACTGATTGATGGTGAAGGCATTATGACTCGACTTTTTTACCACTGCTACAGCATAATATGATGCTCCATCATTATCACCTAGCACAGAAAAGAAACATAAATACAATCATACTGGACCATATAGCAATGGGAATAAAATGCAACTTCACAACGTGCATATAAGTGGTAGTGGTCAGACCATTAGGCATTCAATTTTGGCAGGCAAGTCAATTTAAAGTCAAGGAAGAGAAAAGTCAGGTTGTTGACTTGCTCACTGAGCTGGCTGATTATAGTTCAGACGTTTCGTCACCATGCTGGGTAATATCATCAGTGCGGCCTCCAATGAAGTGGTGTTGTTCTACTCAGCTTAGTATTTATGTGATCCAGTCTGTTGAGATGTTTTGTGTCATTTCCAGTTCTTTTTTGCAAGGGTTTGTAGATGGGGTCTAATTCCACATGTTTATTGATTGCATTATGGGTGGAGAGCCAGGCCCCTAGGAATTCCTGTGCATGTCTATGGTTGACTTGTGCTAGGATGGTCACGTCATCCCATTTAAATTGACGTCCTTCATTGTCTGAGTGCACTGAGATGAGGGAAAGTTTGCCATGTCATTTTGCTGCTACCTGGTGTTTGTATATCCTGATAGCTAGTTTCCTTCCTGTCTGGCCGATGTAATGTTTTTGGCAGCCCTTGCACAATATTTTGTACACTATGTTGGTCCTGCACATCATGGGTATGGAGTCTTTGGTCCTTGTGAGTGTTTGTCGTAGTGTAGCTGTGGGTTTGTGTGCTATCCTGATTCCTAGTGGTTGTCCCGATATGTTCTTGACATACGGTAGTGTGGCCAGTGTATTAGGGCATATTATTTCCTCTTGTCTGGTAGGCATCTGCGGATAAAGTTGGTGGGGTATCCATTGATAGCAAAGACCTTGTATAGGTGCTCTTCCCCCTACTTGCAAAGTTCAAGTGTGTTGCAGTGGGTTGCAGCCTGTTTGAATAGTGCCCTTACACATCTTTGTTTGTGGACGTTGGGGTGATGAATGGATACTCCACCAACTTTATCTGCAGATGCCTACTAGACAAGAGGACACAATATGCCCTAATACACTGGCCACACTATCCTATGTCAAGAATATATCGGAACAACACTAGGAATCAGATTAGCACACAAACCCACAGCCACCCTATGATAAACACCCACAAGGACCAAAGACCCCAGACCCACGACATGCAGAACCAACATAGTGTATAAAATATCATGCAAGGACTCCCAAAAACATTACATCAGCCAGACAGGAAGGAAACTAGCCATCAGGATATACAAACACCAGGTAGCAGCACAATGACATGATAAACTTTCCCTCATTTCAGTACTCTCAGACAACGAAGGCCATCAATTTAAGTGGGATGACGTGACCAACCTAGCTCAAGCCAACCATAAACACACATAAGAATTCCTAAAGGCCTGGTTCTTCACCCATAATGCAATCAATAAACATGTGGAATTGGATCCCATATACATACTCTTGCAAAAAAGAACTAGAAATGACACAAAACACCTCAACTAACTAGATCATATAAAGATTAAGCTGAGTAGAACAACATCACTTCATTGGAGGCTGTACTGATGATGCTACCTAGCCTGGTGACGAAACATCTGAACTATAACCAGCCAGCTCAGCAAGCAAGTCAACAACCTCACCACAACCCGAGCTATAAATCTTCGCAAAAACCTTAAAGGGAAAAGTCAGCCATGGTGACCAACGGACAGCCAATACACCACCAAATTTTTGCCTGTGTTAGAAGTTGAATTTAACCGCCATTGTAAATACAAGATAAGGAAGTGAGCTTGTCAAATGAGACACATCTTCTGACCAAGGATAAACGATATGTCTCCACCAGAATAATTCGAAACCCAATCCAACCTCTTCTGACACTGGCATCTTTATTCAATACTACTTCATTGTAAACAGCCAATAAGAAAAACAGCATAAGATTACCAACATTTCACTATTTATTGCCTGAAAACCAGCATCACTAATTACATCTCCAAGGCCAAATTGTCAATCCTACTGAAAATTATCATGCACATCCAACTATGGCATCCGCCAAAAGCTCTTATTTGCCAGGGAGCTCTCAAATAATTGTTTCTCAAAATTCAAATGCTCAGTCAAACACTTGGCAAGGGGATGAAATCAGTACTGAAGTCAGTGTTTATTTCCACACAAAAATAGATGAGCTTTGGTAACTAACACTTCCTTTAAAAAGTAAGAAAATTGAAACTGCAAAATATCTAAAGGCACCCTATTGCTGAGCAGCCAACAGCTGGTAAGAATCTGAAAATTGTTGGAGAGTGAAATGCCTGGTTTACAGTCAGATTTTGCTTTTCCAAATTAGTATTACATGACATGCATTTAACATAATACAATTCTAACAATGCCACTTAAACAAAATATGTGCTGCTGGTAAATGACATTTAGAATGTATAGTTCCACAGGAGAGCCTAGCATAGTGGTTTCTCATTTATTTTGTAATTGGAGGTTGCAACCACTGTAGAATTGACAATGTACACCTATGACATTTGAAAAAAATAACATTTGACATTCATAGCCATGCATCTGCTATCCAAACTGACACTGTTAGTGTAGAAATACTGAAACAGATATCTTGATCGGTCTGTTCAGGGATGTTGTCACACACCTCTAGAGCAGGTGAGGCTCAAACAAAATAATTGTTTTAACTATATTCAGCTGATTACCATGACTAATTAATTGAGAAAGAGACACACTTGTATCCGAGAATATAAAAATCAAACTGACAAGCACAATGCTAAGGACTCATATGTGTCAGTCCAAGTGATTGTCTTCATAGTCTGAATGCTACCTCCCTGCCACCACATCTTTCTTTCTCCAGTGACACTAATTCCATTTTCCAAGCTAAAAGCAATAAGCCCTCACTTGACGCACTGCCAGTGACCTCATTTCCCTGTCACAAAGGCAGTTTGTTGTTGAATCAATATTATTCTCACCAATGCCAGGCTTGTAGCCTTGAATTGGACAATCTTAATACAGGCTAAAATATTACTCAGAACTTAATCAGTATTTATGGCTGTTTGCCAATATTGTCAGCAAAATATCTATGTGTTTGAACAAGTTGTTCCAAGTAAGATTACAATCAGTTTGGTAATTGGGTTTTATCTGCACATCAATTTAGTTTAAGTCAATAATTGCTCTTCCCTTGAGATAAAGGCTGCCCTGTGAAGGGCCCTGATGAAGGGTCTAGGCCCGAAACGTCAGCCTCTCTGCTCCTATGATGCTGCTTGGCCTGCTGTGTTCATCCAGCCCTGCACCTTGTTGTCTCGGATTCTCCAGCATCTGCAGTTCCTACTATCTCTGCCCTGTGAACAGCTAGCCACTTTTAAAATCAGTATCTTTACATGGAATATATCCTGTAAACCTCAAGATGAATATCTGCATAGGAGGACAAAGTGATAATTTGATCAGAACAAGAAACTAAATGTAGAATGGCCCATATGGATGTGAAAGATCTTTTTACTACTTTGCTTTTTGAAATGTGTTACATTGAATTAACACTTTAGTGGAATTGTAAACATGTCAATTTACTATTGCACCTGAAATAGTGCTTATTGAATAATGCCATGCTCTGAGTCAATCTATTCACTGGATAGATTTCCAGTGAACTAAACTGTTTCCTATCTGTCACTGCTTATGCAAAAATACATTATTTTTGACTAGCAAACGAATCAGTGATATGAATTGCTCTTGTATAAAATATTTTCTTAGTTCGTTGTTGAACTGAATAATTGAAGGAATGATTATAGAGAAATCTATTAATTATCTGCATTAATCTTGGTCTGGCAAAGAATCCCTGGCAATGTGTATATGATGACTAATCTATGATATGATGAAGTCTATCTGATGGAAGTAGAGTGCTTTAGCTTTCCAAGGAGGACTTAAATGCACTAATCTCCTGGCCATTATTGTTTCCAGATTGCACAACAGTCCCAGATATGAGTAAGTCTGAATTTTCTGATCCATACATAACTAGACTGCAGCCACCTACTGGAAGCACTAGTTCTAAATTATTCTTATATTTTATCTCTTACCTGTATAACTTTCAGCTGCAGCAGGCACTAGTCCATATACCTTTCCAGCTGTGTAAATCTGCCCCGCATCCAATGTAACTGCATCAATGTCTTTATTCTGTAAAGGCAGAAATAAACTAATCTGTGTTGTTATTAATTAAACCTTTATCAAAATGGTTAGCATTAATTATATAATAAAAATAAAATTTAAGGATAAGAATATGACAGGTGAAGATAGTTTCAGACTAACCCACTTGGTTGGCAATATCAGGAAGGAGAAAATGCTGATGGATTCGGCGATATACCGTTAAAAGTCTACTGTACTGATGAGACAAAGTGGCATACTGTAAAAACTTTACCTTGTACTCATCAGGGCAGATGCAAGAGAATCATTTTTGAAAGGGAACAACGGTTTATTCTACTGATTGGTTAGCAAGTCAATTCTGGTCGAGGCATTGCCAAAGGGAATGCGCCAGGACACTGTTTAATTGAAAAAGTTGCAATACCCAAATATGTGCTTTCTGTGTGTGCAGAGAACAGAGCTCTGCTAATATATATTTGAAGCTGAGCCATATTATGAGCTGAACTAATCATTTTAAAGTGGTTGCTAATGTAATTTTTAGTACAATTGGAATTCTTTTGAGAATTCTGGGCAGTCAAAGAGTCGCAACTAATATTAGACATAATGGGCTGAGTTCTATGCTTTTTAGGCTGTCAGTTTTGCTGAGTTTGATGGAAGGTTTCTCTCCACAAGGCTTCCTAGTGATACTTCTCACCATATCTTACAAAACATGTCTCTCAACTGAATCAAGACCCATTCTACAACTTGCACATCCGGAATAACTCACCACCGCCGGTGTACTCCGGAATTGACCGGCATCCCTGACCCCAGTGCCATCTTTAAAATACTGCTGTGCACCTGGACAAGCATTTCCGTCTGGAGCTGCTCTTACACAGTTCCTAATATCTGCCCTGAGCATATCAAGGAAGGAAAAATTGCAGGGGACTGCAGGTCTTGTCAGATGGGGTGGTGCAGAGTATAGGCTAAGCAATCCATGAGGTAATTGGAACAGCATGCACTTCCAGTTGATTCGAAATTTCCAAACAAGAACAATATTTGTGTAGGCTTTGGAGCAGGTCAGCCCTCTTTCCTTTACTGGAAAATGGCCAGTGTCATGAGAAAATCAGAAGACACCATAAAATGACATTAAATAGGATTCTAACATACCAATTTTCCTAATTACACTCTTGTATAAGTAATCGATACATACTGACATTTTCATGTACTTACTTCATCATAGATTAATTGTTGTAATTGAGTAGTATCTATTTTCTGAGATGCCTGTCCATTATTTGAATCTGATTATGTCAGGAGACCAATCACATTTCATTCCAGCTGGACAGGTAGAACAAAGATGTACACCAATCTGAGAAATGAAATCTATCACTAATGCACAAGAATTTCAACTATGGATAATAGAGCATCATTGTTTCAGTGATTTGTGCAATTCACTTACATTCATTTGAAATAGTCCCAGTACACTTATGGAAATGTTTCTATCAGGGATTGAGATCGGTGACAGATCATTTATTCTAGTATAATGAACTGAACTGAAAAATCCACCCTTCTTGAAATTTTACTGGGATTGTGCAGATGTGCATCATACCTTGATCTTTTTCATGCAGTCACTGGGATTGTCTCCTGATACACACTGAATTGGCGGTGTCAGGTTTTTGCTATTGAAAGCTTCAGCCATATCTCCACATTTCAGCAATTCTCCCCTAGACTGTGTGCACCAGCGCAGAACGTTGGGCATTCCTGTGTTAAGAAAAGCAGCACAAACTCACTACTTCTCTGTACTGATACAATCTCAATAAAATATTTCCATTTTGAAATGACAACACTGGAATGATAATGGAGATGTAATAAATAATGGAATGTAAGAAAGGCACTACAATCATTATGGGTGATTTTAATCTGTGTATTGACTGAACAAATCAGAACAGGGATAAGATGGAAGATGGATTTATAGAACACATCAGGGATTGTTCCTCAGTTGCACAATCTAGCTAGGAACAGGTTATTTTACTTCTAGTAATACGTAGGATTAATTAAAAAATCTCATAGTTGAGGATCCTATAGGAATTACCAATCATGACATGGTAGAACTTCAAATTCAGTCTGAGGGAGAACAACTCTAATCTCAAGATAGTGCCCTCAACTTAAACAAGTGCAATTACAGAAGAATGAGAGGGAAAAAAAGTTGTCTAAAAAGTGAGCTGGGAAATAGACTAAGGAGAAGGTCAGTAGATAAACAGCAGCAGATATTTCTTAACAGTCAGGAAAAATTTATTCCAGCGTTCAATGAGAAGCCTGAAGGACCTGAGGTTAACCAAGGATCTTAAGTATCCGATCAAAAATTAAGGCAATGCAAAATGGCAAAAACTACTGGCAGGTCGGGGATTGGGAATATTTTAGCAAGAGCTTCTAAGGGCATGTAAGAAGAAAGAGTAGTTTAACTAAATGTGAACCTTTGAAGGATGTGACAGGATAATTGATGACTGCAAACAGGAAAATTTCAGATCATTTAAATCAATATTTTTTATTGGTCTTCATGAGGGGCAGCACTGTAAATATTTCAATGACATCAGATAAGCAAGGTGCTAATAGGAGGAAAGGTCTTGTGACAGACTCAGCAAATCATCAAGACCTGATGGCATGCACCTAAGGGTTTTAAAGGAAGTGGCTGCAAAGATAATGGAACACTGGTCAAAATGTTGCAGAACTCACTGGACCTCAGGAAGGTTCCAGTGGATTGGAAAACTGCCAATGTGATGCCCATGTTCAAGGAGAGAGGGAGGCAGAAAGCAAGAAACAATAGGCCAGTTTGTCTAATATTGGGCAAATGCTACAGTCTATCATTATTGAGGAAGAAATAGCAGGATATTTAGAAAAACTTAATGTAATTTAACAGTGTCGACATGGTTTTGTGAAAGGAAAATTATGTTTGACAAATTTCCTCAAGTTAACATACAGGAAACAGTGTGTAGGGATGAATGGGTCTTTTTTGGTGAAGTGCCAAAAGGTGCTTCATTCCTAGGACCTAAATTCCTAGGTGAGTGAGTGAGCAAAAATTTCACAGACGGAGTTTAATATAGGAAAGTATGAGGTTAGGCACTTTATTCGAAAAATCAAAAGGCAGACTATTATTTAAATGGAGAGAGACTCTAAAATTAAAGTGCAACACAGAAGGACCTGGGTGTTCCTGTGTATGAAGCACAAAATGTTTGCATGCAGGTACAGCAAGCAATTAAGGCAAATGGAATTTTGGCCTTCATTGCTCGGGAGTTAAAGTTTAAACATAGGAAGTCCTATTACAACTGTACAGGATGTTGATGAGGCTACATCTGGAGTACTGTTTAGGTTCCCCATGTTAGAAAGGATAAATTAGCATTGGAGGCAGTTCAAAAGAAATTAACTAGGTTTATTACTGGGATAAAGGGTTAACTGATCAAGAATATCTAAACAGGTTAGGCCTTCGTTCATTAAAGTTTAGAAGAATGAAGGGTGATATTATTGAAACATACAAGGTTCTGAGGGGATTTGACGAGTTAGATGTTGAAAAACGCTCAGAAAAGGGGACACTAGGAAAGTGAGTGGGTATAAAACTGGCTGTAATACTAAGATAATATGTTCTCTTAGAGGAAGGCTGCTTCTGGAGGCCTGGGTCTAGTTCTGGTTGCCTAGTCATAGGAAGGACATTATTAAGCTAGAGAGGGTTCAGAAGAGATATACCAGGATGTTGCCAGCATGAAAGATTGAGTTATAAAGAAAAGCTATATAGGCTGGGACTTCTTCCACTGGAGTGTAGGGGGCTCAGATTTATAAAATCATGTTGGGTACAGATAGGATTAATGGTAGGTGTCTTTTTCCTGGCATGGGGATTTCAAGACATTTTTAAGGTGAGAGGAGAGAGATTAAAAAAGACACGAGGGGCAGATTTTTTTTTACACAAAGTCCACAAATGCAATGAACTTCCTGAGGAAGTGATGGATGTGGGCACAGTTAGTTAAGACACTTAGATAAGTACATGAATAGGAGCAGTTTGAAGGAATATGGGCCAGGAGTAGGCAGGTGGGATTAGTTTAGTTTGAGATTATGTTCAGCATGGACTGGTTGGACCGAAGGATCTACTGGCATGCTGTATGACTCTATGACTCTATTTCCACTACTGGGGGAAGTCTTGACCGAGGGGACATAGTTACAGATTAAAGGGGACACTCGTTTCAAACTGAGATGCAAATGGAATTTCTTCTTTCAGAGTAGTGAATATTTGGAATTTGACTCCAAAGAGTTCTGGAGGTTAGATCATTGAAATTATTTAAAGAGAAGGTACATATCCCTTAACTCCTCAATATTTCAATAATCTATGAGAAGCTGGCATGAGAAAGAGGAGCTGAAACCCAGAGCAGATCTGCTATAATCTTGTAGAATGGTGGGGCAGGCTTAAGGGGCTGAATGGTCTACTCCTGCTATTTCACGCGTTCTTATGGAATTAGTTTCAAAACAAGCAGAGAGTAGACATTGACTTAATAAGCAAAATGCCTTGCCTCTGTACAATTAACTTCTATGGCTCTAAGAAGTATCCTCACATCCAGTTTCCTCAAGCAAGCATTTCCAGAGCAATTCCCAAGCTCAGAAGTGCCAAAGGATGGCTTATAAATTAGTTCACGAGGAAGAAGTGAAAACTATAGGATGAGTTATTTATAGGCAAATATCTATATAGGCAAATATAGATTCCATGGAAGTGCACTTAAATTGCCATGGTATAAATGTGTGCCAACTGAAGCTGTTTACCTGGTGTATATCACTACAGTTAAACCACTTGCAGCAACAACTTTCAATTTCAATGCATAAAATGGAGGAAATGTAGCTCTCTATAGTATCAAACTAAAATGGAGACTAGGAATCTACAACATCGAAAGAAATGTTGTCCATTCTGTAGAGTCAGTGCTGCACATCTGTAAATAACAGCATTTGGCTAATGTGTTGCTTATTAAAACAAACTCAAAAAACTACGTTTCAAATGTAACGCTGCCAATACATTCAGGACAACCAGATATTCCAACATTTTAAAAAATCTGCTCAGCCCCAAACTGCAAGCTCATGTTTTGCTGTGACCACTGACTGCACGGAGTACAGAAGGTTGAGGTCATAGTGAATAAACCTTCACTGCTGGTAAATTTGCTGCCATTCAGTAACAGGATGAAACAGTAAAATATGTCAACGATCTAAGCTATCTTCAATTGAAAGACATCACTTACTGTAGCAGTCAAGTCCAGTCAGGGATTGAAGATATTCTGAGCCCAGCCAGGCCTGGTAAGTTTGATTCTTGATCAGCATGAGTTCTTTGCTGGAGTCCTTAAACACTAAGTCTTTGCCATTGTATGAAGCTGAATCAAATAGCTTAAATCCAGTTGAGGTAATGTCAAATTTTTTCTGTAAGTAAAGAGTTTTGTTTTAAATGAATAGCTAAATGTAACTGCCTTTCATCCCATTTAATAGTGTTTTAACGCTGGCTGACTTAGACATAAAGCAGTGTAATTATATAGCTTCATGTATGTTATATGGTATGTATGGTAAATGCAGGGAAGATGTTCCCACTGACCAGGGAGTCCAGAACAAGGGATTACAGTTTACAGAATACCGGCTAGGCCACTTAGAACCAAGATAAGGAGAAATTCCTTCACCCAGAGAGTAGTGAGCCTGTGGAATTCTCTGTCACAGAAAGCAGGCGAGGCCAAAACATCAACCGTTTCCAAAAGACTGAGTTAGATATTGTTCTTAGACTGATGGGCTCAAAAGGTACAAGAAAAAAGCAGGAACAGGGTACTGAATTGGATGATCAGCCATGATCATGCGTAATAGCAGGGCAGGCTCGAAGGAGCAAAACAGCCTTCTGCTGCTATTTTCTATGTTTCTATGTATTGTTCAGACCCAGTTTCATGGATTTATCCAGAAGCTCAATTTATCTTTCTTGTGATTCTGAGAAGAATGAAATTCATGGTATGGATGACAATTTATTCTACATTTCTTAAATTCTGTTCTGTAATTAAATGAGTTTATTACCAACAGATCTCCCAGCCCTAGAGGACAGAAACTATCAATATGATCTACATAATCCAATTCCTCCGTAATCTAATCAAAAAGAAATGTAAATAGTTTCAACGCTAATTAGTTGAGTCTATTTGCTCCAAAATTTGGACAACATATAGATGCCACTTTAAGACCCTCGAGAAATACCATCAACGTTGTTTGAGAAAGGAATACCAGTGATCTTGAGACCAAGGATCAATTCCACCTCCCAGAAACACCTGCCAAATGTATATTGGGAGATGTGGCTCTAGGATCGGGCTCATCAGTCACACAAGGACCCACAGAACCCATGACCAGTGACACGGAATTTCCTAGGTGGACAATCATACTTGTTAGTGAATGATTGCAGATGACAATTCTATTGGGGAAAGCAATAGTTTTACTGGGTTTGTTATCCAGAGATCCAGACTTTGGGGGCTTGGGTTTCATTTGAATTTAGTTGACATGACTGCAATGTAAAGCTGGTCTCAGTGATGTTGACCATAAAATTATCATCAATTGTTGTAAAAACCCACCTTGGTCAACCAATGTTCTTTAGGGAAGTAATTCTGTCATAATTAACCAGTCCTACATATGACTCCAGACCAACAGCATTGTGGTTGGCTTGAGGGTAGTTAACAGTCAGTCAATCAGTTCAAGGATAATTAGCGGTGGGCAAAACATGCATAACTGTAAGAATAATCAATAAATCCTCAAAAGCTGCAGTGAATCAATGAAATACTTCAAAAAAAAATCTTTATCTCAGCTTACTATAGGCGATGATTATTTGAACCATCTTTTACTTCTATAACCAACACTGCAGGAAACCCAATCGCTGCTCAAATCAGCCATGTAAACTATTGCCAAACAGCACAAATAATACACTTTGTTGGATAAAGTCATAAAAAAAGCTACTGAAATTAATAAAAACAGATCCCAGCAATAATTGGTTGAATTTCCAAAGTGCAAGGTACAAAGAACTGCTAGTATCATAAAGTTTTCATGCAATCAATGGTTAGGATTTGAAAGAGATTGAAGTAGTGACTTTCAAAAAGGATTGGACAAAAACTTCGAGGATTTAAAAACAAAACCAAGATAAGGAGATAAAGTGGGGGAATGGGTCTAACTGGATCACTCTAGAAAAGAGCTGGCACAAGCTTACCGAGCCAAATGACCTCTTCTATGCTGTGACAACAAGGTGCAGGGCTGGATGAACACAGCAGGCCAAGCAGCATC